TGTTACACTCTGGGACTGTCACTTTCGTTTGAATATGTTTCAATATTCCGGAGCTTCTGAAGATACTTCCCTGTTTCCTAACTGGATTATCTGTGTCTCTGTCCACTGCTTGCTCTTCAAATGGCTTTAAGTTTTGTGAATATCCTCTTTTTCATCAATACTTTTTGATAATTTTGCTAAAGCACCTTTAACCTCTGTGTGTGTATATATACATAAATCTACTTCTTCGAATTGCAGAGTTGAGACTCAGGTAACTAAAATAGGCATATTAGTAATATGACAAGGTAAATGTTGATTTAATAGAAATGAAATAATTCATTCAATAAAATGAAATTAATAATTTCCCTACCATTTAGATGGTCATGAAAAATGTACATGGCCTATAAATCACTGAATTATTATGCATAATAAACATAATGTAGGCATGCATGTATGTGTATACAGTCCATCCTCATTACCTGCAGATTCTCATCATTTGTGAATCTGCCTACTCACCAAAATTTATATGAATCCCAAAATCAGTTCTTGAGGTGCTCTTGTATGTCTGTAGACACAAAGCAAAAAAACCGAGTTGCCCAATATGAATTTCAGCTGCCCAGCTGAAGTTGAACAGAGCCACACTCTGACTCCTTGCTTCAGCTCTCATACTGTAAACACGTATCCTATTTGTGCCATGGTCTTTGTGCTTGGTGATTTCACTATTTAAAGTGGCCTCCAAGCATAGAGCTGAAGAGCTGTCCAGGGTTCCCAAGCACAAGAAGGCTGTGATGTGCCTTCTGAGAACACATGTGATAGAAAAGCCTCCTTCAGGTAAGAGTTCTGGTGCTATTGGTTGTGAGTTCAATGTTAATGAATCAACAGTATGTGTTAAATAAGGTGTCTTTAGTCTGAAACACTAGTAAAACAAGGTTATATATTGATCAGTTGATGAGAATACTATGACCAGAGGCATGCAGGAACCTAATCTTACTGTAATTCCCTGGGAGCAATGGTTCAGTATTCACTAATTCAAGTGTCTGTGGTTACTTTACAGAACATTACTATCACAGATAATGAGAACTCTGTGTGTGTGTGTGTGTGTGTGTGTGTGTGTGTGTGATATTACTTAAAGCTTTAAAGATTACAGATACTTAGAGGCATCTGAATCGCAGAATCAAAACTTCATAAAGCATGTGCATATGAATAGTTCAGGGTGCTTTTGTGGGAACGCAGGATTCACAGGGATGCAGCGATAGACTGTTAAATCTCGCTCACAACACAAACAGAAAAAATCAGAAAGTTATTTGACACTTAAATTCATATCTTTCATTTGCAAAATTTTCCTTTTCTCTCTGTGAAGTCTTCTCACATTTATTATGTTCAATTCTCACATAATAGAGCGGGGTGTTCTCTAAAGTTTGAGAACCACAGGTCGAAAACAGCCACTCCCAAACCTGGGTGCACAAAAGCATCAAATGGGAAGATTTTTAAAAACACTGATTTTATCGTCTCACCCTAACCCCCCTGCCTCAGGGCACTACCTGGGAGTCTGTGCCGACTGGGGAATTTCACTGAGGAGATAAACATGTAAGAGTCATCAGCTGTCTCAGGTTGCTTTGGCATTTGGAGCGGTGCTATGGTCTGAATGTTTGTGTCCCCCACTACAATTCATATGTTGAATCACTAACCCCCAAAGGTAATGGTTTTAGTAGGTGGCACCTCTGGGAGGTCATGAGGTCAAGAGGGAGCAGCCCTCATGAATGGGATTAGTGCTCTTATAAAAGAGACCCCACAGAGCTCCTTCTATCATGTGAGGATACAAGAAGTCTGAAATCTGGAAGACAGCCCTCACCTGACAATGCTGGCACCATGACCTAGGACTTCCCATCCTCTAAAACTGTGAGAAATATTTCTATTGTTTATAAGCTACCCAGTCTGTGGCATTCTGCTACAACACTAAACAGACTAAGACAGGTAGCGTCCTCAACGATGGTGAGAGCAAACAGAAGCCACCTGGTTGTGTTATATGAAAAATCTCTAAGACACATTCTATAGTAATTTTCCCGAATATTTGTGGCCAAGGTTTTACCACTACCCTGCAGTTTTCAGAATTACACATTAATACAAAGGAACTGTTGCTCACATATTCAACTGGCTTCTCAGTTCCACATTTGAATGTGTAACAGACATCTCCAACTCAAAATGTGTAAAACTGAGCTCGTTATCTTTCCCTTCAAACCTTCTCTGACCACATCTCAAATAATGGCAACTTAATCACTCCAATTTGCCCAAGCCAAAAATGTGGTGTTATTTTTTTGGTTCCTTTTGTTTTCTCATTCCTCACACATACTCAATGAGAAAATTTAATCTCTGTCCACCATCTACATTGTATCAACCAGTACAACCCACCATCTCCAGCTTTTCCCTGGATTCTTGCGTTACTTGAACTTGGTCTCCAAACAGACTTCCAAACTCCAATTATACATATACATCTTATCTATATGTATGTACGTATTTGGTACACACACACACACACACACACACACACACACACATTTTCTAACTCCTTTCTACCCCTGCTCCTAGATAGGCATTTCCCAACACAGGAGCAATCATGATTTTATTAAAGGAAGTCAGATTGCATCTACCATTGCTTAAAACTCTCCAATGTCTTCTGAGCTCATTCAGGGTAAAAACCAGAGACCTTACATGTTGTAAGGACCCATGACTCTTCCTCTCCTGCCCCCGCCCACTTGATTCCCTCTTGCTCTCCTACTACTCCCAGATTACTCACCATACTCCAGTCACACTTCATCTGCTGCTGTTTTCTGAACACACCTGGTGAGATCACCTCTCTCAGGACTTAGCACTTCCTATTTTCTCTGCCCGGAAGGCTCTTTCCCTAGATATTCACTGCCAGATTTTAAGTAGTAAATCCTCCTCTGCCAAGCCTCCTGCTTCAATTTCATATTTCCTTTTTTCTGCTTATTTTGCTCCATGAAATGCTGACTTCCTGACACAGCGCTATCCAATGTAAACTTTTTCCAATGATGGAACAGATGGCTATGGAGCAGTTAAAATGTGGCTAGTGAGACTGAGGAATTGGCTTTTAATTTAATCTTATTTTAATGAATTAACTTGAACTTGAAAATTTGTTTCAAGTCATTTAGTTATATTAATTAATTTTAATTAAATGTGAATCTAAATAGGCATTTGTTGCTAGTGGCCACTACACTGGACTGCACGATTCATCCAGAATCTATTTGTGTTTGACGGTGAAGGGATCAACAGTCTTTTTTACAATATTTACAGACAATTTTCCCCAGCACCACTTGTTGAAAAGACCATCTTTCCTTCACTGTTCATCAGTGCCACCTTTGCAATGAATCAACTATCCATATATGAGGGAGTCTGTTTATAGATTCTCTGTGTTGCTTCATTGGTCTATTTGTTTATCCTTGTGTCAATTACATGCTGTTTTACTTAGCCTATCAATATAATGTCTATATTATATCTGGTAGAGTTGAGTCCTCCAACTTTACTCTTTAAGATTGATTTGGTTCTTCTTGTCCCTTCAAATTTACTGATAAATTGTAGAATCTGTTTGCCAATTTTCACCAAAAAAATTAAACCAACGAACAAACACACTGCTGAAATTTTAATTAAGGTTTGCACTGAATCAATACCTAGTTGGGAAGAACTGACGTTTATACCACCGTATTGAGTTTTCCAATCAAGGAAACTTTCATATTTCTCCACTTATTTAGGATTTAATTTATCTCAAGAGTATTTTACACTTACCTGTATAAAAGTTGTACACATCTTTTTAAAGATTTATTACCATGTATTTGAGGTTTTTGATGCTACTGAAAATAGAATCTTCTAAAATTTCATTTTAATTGCTGGTATACAAAAATGAAATTAATTTTTACATTAACTTGATATCTAGTGATCATCCTAACTTTTAATAGTTAGTCTGTAGATTGTTGAGAATACTCTCAATACATAACCTGGCCATCTACAAATAATGAGAGTCATAGTTCTTCCTTTCCAGTACATATATCTTTCATTTCTTTCTCTTGCTTTATTGCACTGGCTAGGACCTCCAAAACAATGGTGAACAGAAGGATAATAGCAGGCATCTTTGTGTTAATGTTGGTAACAGGGGTAAAGTTTTCAATATTTCACAATAAACTGTGATATGTGCTGTAGGTTTTTTTATGGGTCCTCTTTAACAAATTAAGGAAATTTTCTTCTATTGGTAATTTACTGAGTTTTCATTTTCTCTTTATCATGAATGGATGTTGAATTTAATCAAACACATATTCCAAGACTATTAATTCCTCTTTAAGTTTATGTTAGTAAAGAATTCAAGAATAAAATTCATTTTTGCCCAAATTTAAAAAGAAAATATTTTCAAAGCTTTCATGTGTATCAATCTTTTTTCTTTTATTATTATTATTTAAAATATTTTTCCACTTTATGTTGGCAAAAATTGTATATATTTAAGGTATGTAATGTGATGGTTTCATATGAATATACATTGTGAAATGCTCACCATAATCAAGCTAATTAACATTCATTACCACAGTTGTTACATTTTTTTTTTTTTCATCCCCCTACTCCCCTCCCCTTGGGCAACCACTTGTTTGTTCTCTGTATCTGTGAGTCTGTTTCTCTTTTGTTATGCTTGTTCATTTGTTTTGTTTTCTAGATTCTACTTATAAGTGAAATCATATGGTGTGTATCAATCTTCTAAGAGGAATAAAGTCTATCCTTTTTGTTTTGGGACTTAGTAAGATACATTTATTATTAGATGTTCTACACAGATACCACATGCATAGAAAATAATGACATTTTAAATCACCACCATTAAACTATTTTTTAAAGATTTACTTTAAGTTCTTCTACTGAACAATATACATTTTAATCAAGTTGCAAATTATGTCAACCTCTTACTTGTTTCATTTTAATTTTGTGTGTTTAAAATTTAACTATTAAATGAAAATTGATTAACTCACCAGTCATATTGCAATATAGAAGAAATGGTTCCAGGGGACCACTTCCATCTGCATCTATGTAGTAAAATCCTGAAGTATTTCCTCTATGCTTATAGGCTTCACATGACTGCTCATAGATAGCTGTAAAAAAAAAAAAAAAAAAGTATCATCATAAGTGAACTAGTATAAAATTAATTTCTTTAATTTTAATTTGGACACAGAATACTCCAAGTCTTGAAATTTGTATGTACATTACTGACCAGGAGAAAAGGTAACACACACTTTAAAACAAAACTCATTTTTTAAGTTATTATGGTTGAAAGAAGGTTAGATAGAAAAAAGGAAGAATGAGATTGTATTTTATGGCATTTCTTTTTATGATTAAAGGAATATGAGAATAAAAATTTAGTTCATTTTTACATTAGGTAAAACAACAAAGGAGATGGTAGGTGTTTTAAATGTTAAGATCCTTATAAGTATAATGTGACTTCCATTTTGGACATGCATCCAAATGGATCTTTTGACAACCATTCTGGAATTTCTAATTCTAGTATCACCTTGTAATAACCTAACATGTGAAGCACAACAGTGTAATCTCCTTAAATAATCTGCTATTATTCAAAAATTATGCAATAGAAAAGTTTTAAATAATGCTTTAACTAGTCTCCTTTCTCACATAAAATTATCTATAGGTAAAATCCTTTTCTCCATAAAACAAATATGATTTACAAAGCTTCTCGTGAATAATTTAAGAAGTAATTTACATAAGAAACTTTCTCTAATGCTCTGTAATGAGAATTTAAGACAATTAAAATTCAAAGCAGAAGAAATATAAAATATATGCCCTCAAGTGGTCTCAGTGTGTTTTGATCCATAATTGGATGTTTTTAATTACACAATTATATATTTGCCATGTACAAGGTTTGATATTAACAACTGTATATGATGCACTCATCTCATTGAACACTTGGCCAAATGTAATGGTGAATTCCATCAAGCTTTTAATTTTGTGAAATGAGAAATAAACCATCCCCTGAATATCATTCCGTGATCTATTCTAAATTTTCAAAATTATGTTAATGAGTTTTTAGATCATATGAAATAACGTAACTAATTTTCTCAATGTTACAGAGATTTCAGATAATCATACATATTTACTTCTCTACTCCTCCACAGTTTCTTGGTTTTATTTTATTGCTATTGTATAATACACAGACAGAAATATAAGATGGATTGGTTTCTAGTCACATTTGTATTTTGTGCAGTGAAGTGGGCATATGAAAATGGTTCATTTATATATTACTATATATACTATTACTATACACGCATATATGCGTTGATAAATTCTTTGAAAGAGGCTGGGATATAAACATAACTTTGCAGAGAGGGCTGGTATTAGAAAGGACACAATTGCATGAGGGTAACTGGGAGTACTTTTGCTTTATGTGTATTACTTGGCTTTTTATAACATGACTGTTTAACATATTATTTTCTAGTAAAACCTTTTAAAAGACCCCCATCACTCACCCTCCCTCAACTCAGGCTAACGATACTGATGGCTTCATTATAATTGGGTTTATCATCCTGGCCCCATTTCCCAGAATGGTCATTGGCAAAACCCTTCGGCTCCTTTAGACTACCTGCTCAAGAACCTAATAAGTTAACTCAATGATTGGATCACATTGTGGGCCACAGATGAAAATACGTTATTTATTCACCGTCTGATTTTTTTGGCTCAGAGATGTTTGTGTTCCTATTCAGATTTGGTCATTGATAACAGTTGAAAATAAACAAATAGTCAATTAAAACACATTCTATTAGCTTTCTGTTTTGAGTTAGTTACTACAATTGGGATGATACCGGATATGAAGAATTAAAATACACCGTCCCTTTGCTGCTGGTGACTTGGGACAAGTAACTTGGCCCTGGCTTGAGGGACAGCAGGCGTTCTTCCTGTTCTTATGAGGCACTCCAACCCACACAAGCTGATGCCCCAGGAAAGACTGGCTGCAGTGGTGAAGGCACAAGGGTGAGGCCAGAAGGTCCCGCTGCCCCTGCTCACGCCCTCTCCAGCCCTGAGTCAGGACTTCTGAGAGTCCCTTGTGGAGCCTCCAGGGGTGGGAGCTCAGGATTCCAATCTCAACTCCAGCAGGAGTACAAAGCAGTGCACAGTGAAGAGACTAGAGTGGGACTGCACCTAGCGCCCTTGCCTGAAGTCATGGCTACGGGCCAATAGTCCTGAGAGTTAAGCTGCTCAGCAATGTCAGCAACAATATGAAAAAATGGGAAGGAAAAAATGGGCATTTGGGTCTCCCCATCCCACGTCCTGAACAAGTAGACAAGAAAATGACATGAGTCTTACGACACATGCAAAACTTTCCACCAGGAAAAAAATGAACAGCTTCTAACACAGGAAAAGAGTATTTGGTTGTGGTCCCAGCCTCTGGAGCATAATTGCAAGCGTTCACATTCTCACTGTGCCTCAACTATTTCAGGAGCTTCTGGGCATGGTGATTAATCTCCCCCTGTAACCTAGTAAGCTAGGGATAATAACAATGACTACACCCACCTAGCAGGGTGGTCTTCAGAATTAAATAAGTTGGCACATGTAAAATACTAGAGCAGTACCTGGCATTTAGAAAATACTCAATAAAATTAACTATTATGATTAATTCCATTTCTACCATCCTTATTCTCATCATCCTTATTAATGGAGTTGCAAGAGAACTGAAGGATCACCTATTCTGCACTGTATTTTATGCTTATCCTTAGCTACCTTTGTTTTCTACACGTGTTTTCCCCTTACCAGCTCTCTTACTCTTTTCTGTCTTGCTTTATTTTATGTGCTTCTGTAAGCTACCTTGACTACTTTATGAAAAGAAGTGTGGACTAAAAATGAACTAGAAATCAACTGAATGCTAATAAGATCCAGGGTTGTACACACATGGACATATATACACACAACAACAACAAAAAAGGGAAATAAATAAGGGAATCAGGACAGAGGCAAGAACCACAGGTGTATGTGGCTTACAGTTGTGGCAAGTTGCTCCCCTGTATCCAGTGTTTGTACAGTTGCAGTGAAAGGTGTCCCAGGTCTGGGAACATTGACCACCGTGTTCACAATAGTTGGGCAAACACCTAAAAGAAGGTGCAGATACAATTACTACTATTCATTTTGAGAAATCACAAAATACTGCCGATTTATACATGATCATGTGAAAGAATAATGTCAACAGTAACCTAACGAGTAAATACCGCGTGACTAATGGTCATTCCATTTGTCGTTATGGTACCTTAATCACAAAACTAAACCTTAGATCAATAAATTCATCAGGTTTCAACCAATTCTCAGGTAGCTGTGACTGCTTAATTTTCAACATGTCGTACTATATCATAGCCCTTTCTTTTCCCTAGTGACATAACACTAATTCAATATGTTCTCAGAAACATCAATAGTTTACATAAAATAACAACATTTAATCATACTGATTTACTATACTGAATATTCAAAGGAAGAGGGAATAAAGAAGAGAGAAGGAAAGAAGGAAGTGGGAGGGAGGGACATCTCTCTTCACTTGGTGTATACATCCAGGAATGCTGAAGATGCACAGTATAGATGCACAAACTCCAAGCAGTGGGTCAGGATGCATTAGGATGCTGCATCAAAATCACAGGGGCTCCCAGAATATCTTAAATTTTTAAGAGAAATACAGCCATACTCGACATCTGTCCAGCACTGTGCAACTTATTAGCTTGAGGTAGTTAAATTTTAACATTAAATAGTAATACATTCCACTTAATCATGTCCTATCTTTGAGAAGCTGGAGTCTTAGTAGTTGTTAAAAAGTAACACCATGTGAAATCAAGTTGAACAAAAGTAAGGGTAGCAGTGTCTGATCTGATCCCAAGCTCTGAAAGGTTGTACACTACATTAAAAATAAACTTAAAATATTTTTCAAATTTTATATATATAATTTAAAAAATATATAAAAGTAATATACGTATAAATTACTTTTTAAAAGGTTTCTAAGTTGTTAGGACAGGGCTTCCCTGGTGGTACAGTGGTTGAGAATCCACCTGCCAAGGCAGGGGACAAGGGTTCAAGCCCTGGTCCAGGAAGATCCTACATGCTGCAGAGCAACTAAGCCCGTGCGCCACAACTACTGAGCCTGCGCTCTAGAGCCCACAAGCCACAACTACTGAAGCCCACATACAGAGAGCCTGTGCTCTGGAACAAGAGAAGCCACCACAATGAGAAGCCTGCGCACCTCAACTACAGAAAGCCCACGCACAGCAACGAAGATCCAAAAATAAATAAATTAACTAATTAATTAAAATAAATAAAGTGTTAGGACATGAACACTTATAAAGTTGCCTGGAACTAAGCCACTGTTTAAATGAAAACGTTAGTTATATCTTTTGGCTTAGGACACTGTGAAAAAATTACTGAAATACATTAAGGTACCCTGGACAAAACAGTTGAAGAGCTTCTGGTATCAACTCAAAGAGCCCTGATCAAATAACTGATGCTTTTTAGAATTTAAATTGAAAGTTATATTGAGACCAATGCTCTCATTCACCCCAGAATAAAAAAATAAATAAATTACAAAACCCGTCAAGAATATATTCTTGATGAAGTTTCTGCCACCTCCTTTTTTAAAACTAAGACTGGGAACTTCATGTTTTGCTTTTAGGATTTTCCCAATTTTAACTGAAAATAATGTTACTGCTTTTCCTGATTATAAAAAATAGATATCCACTGTACAGAAATCAAACAATATAGGAAACAATAGAGAAGAAACATAATTTATAATTTCAATATATAAAAATTACCACTATAAACATATATGTGTGTGTATAATGTATTATGTTCATAAATGTAATCATAAAGTACACGCTACTTTACAACCTTTTTAAGGATTCAAAAATAAATAATGGGCATCTTTCCATGCCAATTAAGTTTATATGTATTTTAGCATTTTTATAGATTCACAGGAATCTATTCAAAGAATATTTAAAGAGGTATTTAATTTTTTAAGCATTTCAAATCAATAACAATCTAGAAGAAAGAGGGAATTTTTAAAATAAAATTAACACAAAAACAATTCTAATTGGTAATCAGAAAAGAAAAGGACAGAGAAGGCTTTTCTTTAACAGACCTTGAACAATGTTTTAAAACGGGGCAGATATAAGTGACTACACCTAAAATTCTAAAGAATGAATCTATTGGGATACATGTACTATTTCTATTTGATCTGCTGCAAAAGATACTGTGTCCATTTTCCTAGATTCCTGTTAGACTTGACTTTTCATATTTTTAAATTACAATGTGAAAGACTGGATTGTGGATTTTATTTAAATTCATCATATAGTAGTTCTGTTTGACTACTAGTAACCTATGGCAAACTACATTGTATAGTGAAGTACTGATTCTCACTAAAGGTTTTAAACAATTATCTTTTATACTTTTCTCCCTGAGAGTCATTTCAATACAAAGTAGAACACAAACAAATGAATATATCAACATGCCCCAAAATGAAGTGGCGTGTATGATTTTATTTATTTATGGCTGTGTTGGGTCTTTGTTGCTGTGTGCGGGTTTTCTCTAGTTGCGGTGAGTGGGGGCTACTCTTCGTTGCAGGGCACAGGCTTCTCTTGTTACGGAGCACGGGCTCTAGGCACACAGGCTTCTGTAGTTGTGGCATGTGTGATCAGTAGTCATGGCCTACAGGCTCTAGAGTGCAGGCTCAGTAGTGGTGGTGCACGGGCTTAGTTGCTCCATGGCATGTGGGATCTTCCTGGACCAGGGCTCGAACCCATGTCCCCTGCATAGGCAGGTGGATTCTTAACCACTGTGCCACCAGGGAAGCCCCAGTTGATATTCTTAAAAGGTTGATATCAAAAGATTTCCTTAATACTATTGCTTAATAAGTAGTTTAGGTCCAAGCAACTTAATAAATATTTATGCCCTTAACAATTGTCACCCCTACCCCACTCCCACTTGGGTTTCTGCCCCAAGACATGGGGACATAGAGGACAGCTCCCTTTGCAGTTCTATCCTCACCTCTATCGAGGGACTGATGGCCATCAGCCTCAGTCAGCCCCCACCCAGATTTCCTTGCAGGTCCACAGAGGACAAGGGGAGGGCTTCTAGATGAGTGTGTGTGTGTGTGTGTGTGTGTGTGTGTCTGTGAGCAAGAAAAGTGTGAGTGTGTAAAGAGTATAGGAATGATCTTATGAGTGTGCAGGTGCGTGTGTAAAGATGCTATGGGTCTATGAGAGTAGGTGTGTGAGTGTGCTTGTGTATGGATGAATGAGTGAGGAGGTGTGTGTGTGTGTGTGTCTGTGTGTAGGCTGTGTGTGACAAGTGGCTTTGAGATATGTGAGTATATGCATGTATAGATGTGTGTGGGAGATTTGTACAATGACATTAGTTTACACATAAAGAATGTGTGTAAATGACTGTGTGGGTGTGAGTATGAGCACGTATGTAAATTTATGTACACCTTTATGTGTAGGTTTGATCCAACTTGAAGTTAGTTACAGTAAAAAGAGAACTACATTGTTTAAGATTCTGTCAGATGTTTTTTTTTTGGCTGTGCCTCATGGCTTGCAGGATCTTAGTTCCCCAAAAAAGGATTGAACCCGGCCCTTCGGCAGTGAAAGCACGGAGTCCTAACCACTGGACCACCAGGGAATTCCGTCTGTCAGATTTTTAAATATATTTTTAATGTTCCTGTTTGTTTCAATTGCAGTTTATTAAGCCATAAATTCTGTGTTTAATCTACATAGATTAAGCATGAACCGCAATACATGTTGATGTGCTCCCAGGGAAGCGGTACAACATGGCAGGTAGCACGCAGGGGGACTTCCTGGAAGCAGGGGGCTTAGATCCGATGCTGGGCTCTGCCTTTAGCCGTGTCCTCTTGGCCAACTTACTTAACCACTCTGTGCATCTATTTCCATGTTTCCAAGAAACAAACACTCTAAGAACAGAGTCTAAGGGTTTTTGTGAAGATTCATTTAAATGCATATTAATTTATTTAAAATAAATTTTAGAACAGTCATTGCACAAGTCTCTCACACAATGCATAAGCTCACTCACATATCCAAAATCGCCCTACATACTCATACAAGTCGTGACACACACAATGACACAAGTCCTCAAGCATTAACCCATGCATGTGTACACTCACACATGCACACGCTCACACACAGCCACACCATCCCTACACACACACCTGTAAGGTCATTCAGACACATTCCCAGGCCCCTCACTCACTCACATCACCCTACACAAGTCACTCACACACACACACAAACCTAAATACTAATTCATGTTAAGTTAGAATACAACCTAGTAAACGGGGTTTCTTTTAAGTCTCTATTTAATAATGCTTTGGAAGCTATGTCAACAGGTATAGCATATACGACCAAGACAGATGGATACATATTTTCTTCTGAATATAAGAGAATGGAATGAACTTAGAGATACTTTTGGAAGTTTAAAAGGTATACAAATTTAAAAGGTACGTTGGTTTTTGCTGTTATTTTTAAGATTTCCAGGGTTACCGTTAGCCTAAAATTTTCTTTAAAAAATGTATAGTCAAGATCTATCCATAATTTGCTACTTCTGAAAAGCGTTTTTAAGGTGTGGTACCGAAACCATAATTCTCCTACTGTGCTGTATCATGCTCTGTTTTACAAGCGTGCACCTCCGGAAAGCAGGCAGGATGGATTCCTTGTGTAAATGGCAGCTTCAGAGAAACCCATGTTGGAGAGGTGTGGGTCTACCTGTACCAAAAGAACGTTCTGCGATCTGAGACGGTCAAAATGACCATCACTCACAGTGTGGATGACCGAACCTCCCCACCCATTGAGGGTGAGGGCTCCCTGCTTCTGTGAGTGAGACCCACCTCAAGAGAGCTGGCCCAGGGAGCCTTGCTACAGGGCTTCCCCAAAATCAGGATTAACGCTCCTGAGCTGGCGTGGCTGTAACTACGGAGATGGTCACTGTCATTTATTCCCCAAATCAAGCCAATTGAGGTTTACCGCCTCAATTCTCCCTTTATCATCTTTCATTATAGAAAGTATTATTTTCTCTACAAATTGAGTTAAATAAACACATATTCATAGAGAGGAAATGATGGCCTTCTAATCCATTGCTAAATAAGATTATAATTATTTTTTTCTACACATAGAATAATATCTACTAGTGTTCAAAACAGGATCAACAGACATTGATAAACGGTCTTCAGATATAATAGATGTGTGTTTATGTTGATAAAATGTTTCATACAAATAAAAAGTTATTTTTAAAACTCAGAATTTGGGACTTCCCTGGTGGCGCAGTGGTTAAGAATCTGCCTGCCAATGCAGGGGACATGGGTTCGAGCCCTGGTCTGGGAAGATCCCACACGCCACGGAGCAACTAAGCCCGTGCGCCACAGCTACTGAGCCTGCGCTCTAGAGCCCGCGAGCCTCAACTACTGAGCCCGCATGCTGCAACTACTGAAGCCTACGCACCTAGAGCCCGTGCTCCGCAACAAAAGAAGCTACTGCAATGAGAAGCCCACACACCGCAACGAAGAGTAGTCCCCGCTCATCACCGCAACTAGAGAAAGCCCGCGCGCAGCAACGAAGACCCCACACGGCCAAAAATGAAAAAAAAAAAGTTAAAAAAACTCAGAATTTATCTGTTTGCTCAAAATATATATTGAACACTACTACACGGTTGGGGTTAAGTTTGTCACATTGCTTAATTTTTTTTAATCTGGAAAGGCTATGACATTCCACTGAACTCAATAATTAAAAATAACCGCCTTGATGACTGGCAAGATTATTTGGCTATAGTTGCCCATGCCTAAAAATACTTTAAAATTATTAACTATCAATTATCATATTAAAAGTTACTTGTCCTCTGCAATGAACGCCCAAAGCTTGCATTAGCATGCCCTGTACTGGAGTTCCTATTGAAACTACTGGATCATCCTCACACCTTTATCAACACTACGGCTCCAAACTTTTTCACAGGGAGTTTCCTCTTCATTTTCCCTGCAGAGAAGATAGTAATGGGTTCTTAAAGGTACACATCAGGACCATAGCAACCAGTTAAATTCCTATGCCTCTGAAATATTATTCAGCTGTCATGGAAGCAAAAGCCAGTTTGATAACTGACCACATAGGTCTCTGATTTACTGGTACCTGATGGTCTAGATTACTGTTAGGGTATCCTAAGCTATTGTGTTTAATGATATATTTTTGATACATTTATACCCCTCTAAAATTATAGCAGCATCAACATCACCTTTTGTGAATTGGTAGCTATTTGTACATATAAATAACATGGTCACATGTCTTCTAGCTAAATTTTATCACTGGAAATATGAAGTATAAAACTAAAAGAATATTTTCTTATTTCTAATGTGAATATTATCTCTTTCCTGTGGAACAGATGATGGTAAGAAAAAGGAGAGAAAAATGTTTGTTTTACATACAAATTTCAATCTGCTGCCAAAAGTTTGAAAATGGACAGGTCAAACTAAAGAAGTGAGATTGCCTTTACCTGTCTGTGATTCCACATGAGTCTATCTGAAGGTCGCTGAAGTTCCCAAGGGACTCCTGCTGAACTGAAATCAGATCTACCATCTTGTGATTGATAGAAATGAGTCTCATACATCCCTGAAACCCACCAAGTGGACTTTTACATTTGGATCCAAAGCTGTTGTCAGGACAACCTGATAAAAACAAAACAATACAAAGTTGATCAGGATACAGCATAATGAATCAGGACTCAGTATCTTCACTAAAAATATTTTTAAAATAGGCATTTGATTATTAAATTGAAATGGAGGGGAAAGCCTACTGCAGTCATCATTCATTTGATCTAAATTACAAATAGCAATTCATACAAACGTATTTCTCTTTATTACCATAGGATTCATAGGAAATTACTACTGTCATAATAATTATGTGCAAGGATACTAACTTGATCCCAACTTTAGAAATACACAGATCAGCTCCAGTATCCTGAACATGTCATTCAGCAGTACTAAATTATATATAACTCAAACACAGGAACTTAGTCTTTTGGGATGCAAAAAGAAGAGCATAAAGGATGAAAGCATGCACTGTAGACAAGAAAAGATAAATCAATAATGCTGAAATACCTTTGTGTTTAAGGCTATTCGGAAAAGGAGTTACGACGACTTGGAATAAAATTACAACTATTTATGTAACTAAATACTTTTCATATGCATATAAGAGCCACATATACATGCATTTTAATAAATCATAATGGCTTAATGTCAAAAACATTTCATTGTTTGACTTTATTTATTCTCTGCCTCATAAAGGAGTGTTCCATTTATATTGATTTTTTTTCTAACACTTATCTAAGACCTGTTTCTAATTATTTAAATAATAAAGAACTATAATATTAACCATTTTTGTCTGGGGTTTAATGATGTTCTCAGTGTTTCTCTATCCAAGTGAAATAAACAATTTTATGGAGTATGAACACATATATTATACTTATGTATTTTTCATTAATCTTTCTTTGCTGTTATGGTTGTCAACCACTAATATAATTTCAAAGAATAAGAAATGAATCAGCAATTCCCTAACGCCTGTACAATCCATGCTAGTTTTCTACCTGGGAATTTCCATTATAATTAAATATTTTGACAGAGGATGTTTCTCCTTAATGCTTTTTTTTCCTAACAAAATACTTTTACCCAGCAAGCAAAGGCCAGGATTCATACTTAAAACTGTTATCAGGCACATTGAAATATTATATTTTAAGCAACGGAGACTGAAATTTTAAATTTAATATATCAAGAAAAGGGGATGAAAGTTTTTTCAGTATCAGTTAATTGTACATGGTTCTACACACATTTCCAGGGCTTAAAATTCTTCTGTGGTATAGGATACAGTTACCATGATCTGGATGTGTTTTCTAGATGACTTATTAACCAATTAAGAATGTTAAAATAAAAACCAAGAGGAGAGCGGTTCAATAATATTTGGGGGCAGCTACAATATGCCAGGAATATAAACAGCGCTGCTAACCTCCTTTTCTCCAGGTGGTGTTTCCTGACACATTTCAAACTATTTCAGAATAAAATAAATTGTGCGGTATGCCTCTATAGGGAACAAAACTAAGCAAACTCACAGTCACAAGGAGAGGTCATGGAATTTTACAGAGAGCACAGTGGTCATATTATGAGGCCCTTCACATTCCTGGCTACAATGTTTAATAAGCAAGAGATTCTAAAGAACAAAGTAGGGTTCAACCCAGGTTAGTCTCATTAGCCTATGATAACAGACATTCACAGGTTAATATAATGCAACAGCAGAGAGAAATTCAGCACTGAACTGGTTTGGGATGAAAGTTCTAAAATATGAAGATATCTAGGGAATACTTTCATGCTGAATTAATGGATGGATCCAATACTAGAGGCAGGCAGCATGTTGAGCACCTCTGAGATGGCAGATAAATGATCACTGCACGTACCAGAAGTAAGACGTCGGGTTTGACTTCAGGGTGGCGTAGCCAGTTCACTGGATGGATAATGTCTGATTTATACAAGCAGGAGTGTGAGGATTCTGCACACAGTCTAGTATCTCTAGCTTGTGCTACACGGTGTGTTATTCAATTGCACAAAGATTGCATAGGGGAATACAAAGAAGTTAGACTTTCCTCCATCCTCAATCTGGAGAACCCAGATTTAAATTTTATAGTTTATAAATGATAAAAGCTGACCTCAGTAAGTTTTTGAAAGGCATACATTTGAGGAGGGAGAAAACGTAAACAATGATGGGCAAAGAGTGGCGTGTGGCAGTATATGCAGAATGCTGTGAGTTCCGGGCAGCCCACTCTCTCAATAGTCACACTCAAGACTGACACAGAAAACAAATACAACCCAGGCTGGTGGGACAGACTGCCCCAAAATTAACTACCTAAAAAAAGCCCTCCATCTAGATAAAACAGATCCTAGGAATAAAGGGGACTCTCGTCCACACAGCGGAGAAGGTTTTCTAGGGTGACCAACCGCCAAGTTTGCTCTGGGGGTGGGAAGCAGGGAGGCTGTTCCCAGGACTCCAGGCTTTCAGTGCTAAAACGGGAGAGTTGGTGGTGCAGCAAAAATAGAAATAAGACTTCTCTTAAATAAAAATGAGACTTCTATTTTCTGATAAACAAGGAAAATAAGGAAACAGTGAACAGGCTGGGAAACAACATAAACAGGCCTGAAACAGTTAAGCAGTCTTGGTTATTCTTTAGCTGTTACTACTAACCAACACTTGTAGCTGGACTTCTCCTTCACAAAGCTGAGTACTCTCTGACTCCGTATGAATTACACTCTGCACCTGGCTTTCTTCTTCCCTTACACTCCCTTGTAGCATTCTTTGTTTCAGAAAGAAGGTCACCGGCCAATAACTTCAGAAAAGACCAACCCCAGTTACCAAGTTGCCTGACGCCAGCTGTGGCTGTTTTGAAATTTCGCAAAAGAAAAAAAAAAAAGCAAGACCTTCATTAGGATATAAAATCTCTCCTATTCCCAGGGAGTGGGGGGTGGGGGGCTGCAGTGTCCTCTCTTTGCCCGGCAAAGAATAAAGCTACATTTTCTCGTTCCTCCAAAACTCTGCCTCCATATTTCTTTTCGGCATTGGTGCATGGAGAGTCAAGATTTTGGCATCACTGGTCACCCCATTGCCAGTACCACTCAGACAATGAGCCCCTGAGCCAGTCCTGCCCTTTAGGGGACCCTATTCTAACCCTCCTCCAGCCATAATTCTGCCCATGGCAACAGGGGGTCTCACAGGGGAAGGTGATGTGCCCACTTGGAAACTGCTCCCCTCTAGCCCATCCCAGAATCCAGAATTCCCACCCCAGAAGCCCTACTTGGGCTTCCAGAAGGATGGACCTCCTCTACCAGGTCCTGGAGGCACAAGGCTGGGAGGAGGAGGGAGAAATGTGGCAGCAGGAGGCCTCCTGCTTTCCTTTGTACCCTTGCTCGCAGCCCTGGAAATGTCACGGTGCCCTGGGGCTTGCAGGGTATATACTTAGTGATTAATAGAATCTCATGACAAGATCAAACATACTCTGGTACTTAAGATCACCAATTGAGAAGATGATTGAATAAACAGAGATGTTGCCTAAGTAAACTTAAGATTGGTTATTTAAATAAAAGCCCTGAAGTTGGCATTTTATTATGGACGCTTTCACAGTATATTGTTTAGGGACTCAGGAATACCTTCATAGATGTCAAATCATAAAGAACATGACAGGAGGCATAAAACCCCAATTCAAGACGATGGTTACCTGGGGAGATGAAGAGGTATGATCATGGAGTGACAAATGGATGTTGGTAATGTTATCTTTCTTAAGCTGGAAAATGCATGTGCAGATGTGTATTTTAAAAATAATAATTAGTATTCTTTAAATTGTATATATGATGTAAGATGTGAACAATACGAAGTAACTGGGTGTGGGCTATTTGGCAACTCCCAGTGTATCTTTGCAACCCTCTGGTAAATCTAAAACTATTCAAAAATTATTAAGTTCATTTAATTAAAATGGCGTATATCATATGTATCATAATAAAAACAAGCAAAATTACAGAGTGCACATGTGATATATTTCATTATAAAATATTATAGTATGAATAAAAATCAATCAAAATTTTGTACAAAAAATAGGCATCATTAAATCTGAACATGAAGGGTGTAAAATAATTTAAGAATGATGAGTCTATTTTCATTACTTACACTTTTATGCAGTCTGTTATTTTTATCATCTCTTTTTTGCATCATTTAACAAAATGTTTGGGTTTTTTCTTACCTCTTTTGGTGCTTCTAAATCTTTTCCTTTGAAGTGAAAGCTCTAGATTAAGTTGTTCTACACAGATCTTCCTTGACTTACAATGTGGTTACATCTTGATAAACCCATTGTAAGTCGAAAATATCCTAAGTCAAAAATGTGTTTAATATATCCAACCTGCCAAACATAGCTTAGCCCAGCCTACCTTAAACATGCTCAGGACACTTACATTAGCCAACAGTTGGGCAAAATCACCTAACACAAACCCTACTTTATAATAAAGTGTTGAATACTCACGTAATTTATTGAATACTGTACTGAAAGTGAAAACAGATTGGTTGTGTGAGAACAGAATGGTTTAAGTGTATCTGTTGTCTACCCTTGGGATTGCGTGGGTGACTGGGAGCTGTGGCTCGCTGCCACTGCCCAGCATCCTGAGAGAGTATTATTCCACATGTCACTAGCCTCGGCAAAGATCAAAATTCAAAGTACGGTTTCTATTGAATGTGTATTTCTTCGCACCATCATAAAGTTGAAAAATCCTAAGTCAGGGACTGTTTGTATATCCTACCATGTATTAAAGGAACATGTTCCTATGGACTGCTATAAAATCAATCATATATTCCATAAGGTTTTATAAACCACTTGGTTTATAAATGAACACATCACCCTAAAGGAAGCAATTATATCTTTTAAGATTGTTGGCATTATGCTGCCTCTCACAGTAATGGATTAGGTAGGGGTTTTTTGGTTTGTTTGTTCACTCTTAATATAAGATGAATGATTCACGGTCTGTGTACTTACTGTCAATTCTTAGAAAGGAATTTGTATCTTATTGATGAATAATGAAGGCTGGGCTTTCAACCAAATTCAAAAGTGATTCTAGACAGAAGTCATGATTACATTTCAAAATAACAAGAAGAAACACCTCAAGTCACGATTAAAAATAAGTCTGACTAACAGTTTTACAACTTTGTCTTTCTAATTAATGTTAAGTATTGTCTTATGTTAATTTTCCAGTGCTAAAGATTCATTTCCACTTCCAAGGTTTGCTTTTTGAAGATTTTAGTTCAATCAAACATCCACTGGACAAGTAAACACTTCATTTGTTTTTGTTCTTTAAGAGAGATGGCCTGGTGCTGAAGGCTAATGCCTTCATTTTATCAACTATATCAGTGCGTTATTACTTAGCAGTGAGAAGAGGCTTCTGGGGCTAATTAAGTTATATTTTTTGTCCACTGGCATAATATTGACCTGCACTGAGCAGCAGAAAAGCAATAAGAATGCTCTAGAAAAGCTAAGAGGCATGATCAGGAAAACAGTGCAATGCAATGAGCCCATAAAATCTGAAAAAGACATACATGTAAGGCCATTCAACATTAGGAAAATATAACAAAATTTGAAAGTAAGAACTGAAGAGCATGGTCTACTTGCAAGCAATCTCATTATAGAAATCATAAACATAAGTCAGTCCACCTCAAAGAAATGCATTTTAGGTTACAATTAATCATCGTGATCTACTCAACATTTCCATGTTCAAAGAAAGTGAGAAATTATTCCATAATATTCACACTGGTTAAAACACGATGACTTTAAGACATAGGGCAAGTGACTGCGAACATGGTTCAATTGCCCATATGGAGCAACCGTTTCTCTTACCTCCAAAATAAGAGGTGCCCCCTGAATAAATCTGCTCAGGCCCCAGGGAAGGAGATGCAGAAGCCACTTGGCCATCCACCACCACGCTCAGGTAACTCCTTTTGGCAGACAAAGAGACGGAATGCCACTGCCCATCATTTAATCCAACACCTGGGGGAGGTAAAATTAGTTAAAAGAGATACCTCTTAACAGTGAACATTGTAAGCAGTTGGTTAGAAATAGCAATGTACACATCGCTCAATCAAGGGCAGCACTCACAACTATTTTTTTTTTTTTTTTTTTGCGATACGCGGGCCTCTCACTGTTGTGGCCTCTCCCGCTGCGGAGCACAGGCTCTGGACGCGCAGGCTCAGCGGCCATGGCTCACAGGCCCAGCCGCTCCGCGGCATGTGGGATCTTCCCGGACCGGGACACAAACCCGTGTCCCCTGCATCGGCAGGCGGACTCTCAACCACTGTGCCACCAGGGAATCCCTCACAACTATTAATAAAAGAAAAGAAGAAGGGAGAGAGGAAAGGGAGGTCAGTGGGCAATCAGCACCCTCTACGTGGAAATAGTGCATGATTATCTTCCTTTCTTGGGGCCTCAATAGAGAGAACAAAATTCTAACTCAACTTTGGACAATCCTGAATGGTTAAAATCTTTCAATGGTTCAAATCTTATTTGGCATGGGCTAATTTTCAGCTTCCACCATGTAATTTACCTTTTAAAAGGAGGGATTTGGGAAGAGCACAGATATTTTCCAAAATTCTAGTTTATACCCAATAAATGATTTATCTGCTCTTTTACACTTTGCTGTAGTCATTTTTTGTGAGACTAGAATATTTAGCAAAGTATATGAAGTCAATCATTACAAAAACATTTGAAGAGATTATAATGCATGCTGAAAGCCTACTGGTATAATGCAAAGTTAAAAAATAAAGCAGCGTGTAAAACCATATTTACACAGCTGATCATAATAACGTTCAGATTTTGTATTTGCAAGTTCAACCAGTTGCCATAATTTATTGGTAGTTTCCAAATGAATACTCAGGGCACTTTTGGGGTCAGGCACAGAAATGCACAGAGCAGAGAAAAATTTGAGTTGACTGACATGCATGCTTCTAGCTGAGGTCAAGTAAGGCAAAACTTCTTCTTTCTGCTCTCACATGTAAACCTGTCTTCACATTTTTGTGTTTTTTGTTGGTGATTTTGCTGTTTAAAAGGCCCCCTGGCACAGTGATGAAGGGCTGTCTAGTGTTCTTAAGTGCAAGAATGCTATGATTTGCCTTATGGAGAAAATAAATGTGATGGATAAACTTCATTCAGGCATGAGTTAGAGTCCTGTAGGCCACGAATTCAATGTTGGTGAATCAATAATAAATACTGAATAACGTGTCTTCAAACACAATCATACATACAAGGTTCTGTTGATAGGTAGACAAAAATGTTGCCACCACAGGCTCACAGGAACCTAACCCTGTATTTCCCCTGGGAATAATGGTTTAGTATTTGCTAATTCCATGTTCACAGCAACTTCAGAGAACATAACTATTGCAAGTATTGAGAATCGACTCTATACATACAATTCTAATTATATTCCTAATTTTATATAAATATGGGAAAGGGCTAAAAGGAAATATCTCTACATATAAACAGTAATTTTTGCATAAAAGAAAACTGTGGTTGTTTTTACTTCTCTTTATAATTTTTCTGTATTTTCCAAGTTCACATATATAATAAAAAATTGCTATAACCAAAAATCAAGGTTTTCTTATCACCTATAGAAACAGTCACTAGTCCCTCCTAAGGCAGTCCCAGTGTCATGAATCCAGGAGATGGTGGAGCCTTTCCCTCTTAAAGGGAATTAAGTCTACAAAGGTTCTGTTTTGAATACTCAGCAGACAGGTGGAATCTAAGTCTCTCTATTGTAGGCAAACCAGTAAGGTTTACATCCACCGAATAGTCAACTCTGTATGATTTTGCAGATCAAATTACTGAGCAAAAATATAAGTACTCTATTAAATCTAAAAGTCATGGGCCTCTTTCCTGATATTATGTGCAATTTCTTTATTTCTCCAGCTATTTTTCTTTTTCTTTCTTTTTTTTTTTTTTTTTTTGTGTTTTGGGGTCTTCTCTTTTTTTTGCCTTTCCCCTTTGGGGGGCACACGCAGGCTCCGGCCATGGCTCACGGGCCCAGCCGCTCCACGGCACATGGGATCCTCCCGGACCGGGGCACGAACCCGCGTCCCCTGCATCGGCAGGCGGACTCTCAACCACTGCGCCACCAGGGAAGCCCTCCAGCTACTTTTGACCACAAGCTTTCAGACAGAAAATGCATGGAAGCTCCATTAGATGCTGAAGCTCTTTGCCCTGTACTCATTTAGTATAACACAAATTCCATCCTGGGCACCAAAGCTTATTTTTAAATTATATCCATGAAGCAAAAAAGATTTCCAAAGACCCAATTCTGATTTGGTTTGTGAAAGATAATGAGAAAGACCTAAAAACTGAAAAACGAAGAATGTAGGCTAGATACTTTTAGACACATTTTCTAAGAGTGGACTCTGAAATAGACGGCTGAATAGAGTTATATAATCCCTGACGATATGAGACTGGACTAAAATAAATCAAATGTCCCAAATTTGTCATCCTGTGCTTCCTTTAAGAGGATACGTTTAGAGCGAAAATCCTTGTACTGAGTTTTGCGTCACACGGACGAACACTTCCCACCCTCCTCACCCCACCCTGCATCTCCCACCATCTCTTCCTCAAAGCTCGGATGTGCCTGGATACAAGGCTCTGCTTCTGTTATCTCATCTTAGGCTTTCCATTGGCCTGGGACGGTGCTCATCAAACTACCTGCGGTTATGGAGATTTTCTTTTCTGATCTACTGCAGATTGATACTTTTATAAAATTCAATAAAAATGAATGACTGAAACATTAAAGAAAGAAGATATATAAAATGCAAGCCCACTGACCATATGCTTAGAAGGTGTGGCAATACCTTCTTGCTATAACGGTTTCTAGGAGATTACTCTCAATTTTTGTACTTATCTTGGTAATAAGTATTTCAGTGAACCAGTATATTCCAAGGAGCACACTCTGAGTAGCAGTGCTCCAGGTAGCTGCTGGGTAGCTGCAGCAGGATAAAGTCAAAGGCTTGGGGACATCTTCTGTCAATACAGAAGCTAATTTAGATTAAGAACACAAGTCTGAACAAGTTAAGAACAAAAATCATAAATCTTGCCCTCAAAGTCCACCTCCTCAATTTGGGATGATTCGTCGTCTAAAGGAGGAAAGGAAGGAAGGGAGGAAGGGAGGAAGGGAGGAAGGGAGGAAGGGAGGAAGGGAGGAAGGGAGAAGGGAGGAAGGGAGGAAGGAAGGAAGGAAGGAAGGAAGGAAGGGAGGGAGGGAGGAAGGACGGAAGATAAAGTAAAATAAAGTTATTGAAATAAAAAATAATTATTAAGAAAAAGAAAATTATTAAAAAAAAAAACGGACGGATAGAACCCTAGGACAAATGGTGGAAGCAAAGCTACACAGACAAAAGTCTGTCAGGACAGCCATTCTGCGATGTGACAGAGTTAAATGCACCCATTTGCCCAGCTTGCGGGTTACGAAGTTGCGCTGTGTTTGCGGGGGGGAACTTCAGAAAGCTATTCTTGAGCCTCATTTGTAACAGACAGCGCTTGCTTACGATGAGCAGACTTTTATTACCTGTCAATGGGATTTATTGCTCAAATTAAATAATGAAAGACCCATTTAATTCATTTCACCTAACTCTACATAATAAAAAGGATAATTTTTAAATTGGATTCTATTTTTCTTTTAAATCTACAGCTCCTTCCACTTTAATGTCTGATGAGAAGTGAGCCCCTTTCCAAGGCCACATCATGGTGAAAGAGGGGAAGAAAAGGAGGAATTGCAGAATTTGTATTTTTTCTGATTCATGGTATAAGGTAACTAAATGCTAATTCTAGTACACGACTCCCAACACTCACAACTTTCAAAGGTAGGGGAAGGGATATGTTGTTGGTATAATAATAATAAAATAATAACAGTTTTAGTGACTATTATTCATAACAGGTACTGCGTGCTTTATATGCATCGTGTCATTTAATCTTCAACATTACTACTGTTATTCTCATTTTAAATATGGAGAAAATAAACCTCAAGAGGAAAAACAAATCACCCAAGGAAGTATCCAGCTGGTGAGCTGATTCCAAAACCCACACTCTTCTCGGCCTGCACGACAGGTTTTGCTCATGTTATTGTTTTGCTCATGTTAAACAATTAACTATGAGAAAGACAAAGCAGCCCCTACGAGCTAGGGGCTAGTGGCCTGGTACTCTCAGGGAGGCCTTGGTGGTATGAGATGCTGGTGGGCGTCCAGAGCTAGGTCTTGGTGTTCTCCCACTGGGCAGAAACAAGCTCAGAGAACATCAATATTAGACAAGGTCACTCTGTCACTACAATGAACTGGGACCAAAAAAACCCCCCAAAACAAACCCCAAAAGTACTTTACAAACTGGTTTAAGCACAGACAGAAGCAAGGCTACTGTGCAAACCACAAAAATACTTTTTAAATCAAATACAGATTTAGCCTTATTTTATTCCTCCATCCTTCTAAATAATACTTACAAAGATACTTAACCAGTTACCCTCACCTCCTGGCAGCATTTAATCCCAAGCAATTTTCCATTTCCTTGAACCCCCCACGCAAAACAGCTAACTCAACCTAAAATCCTATGACAAGTCATCCTTAACACCTTTGTAATGAGACTCTTCCATGGTTCCCCTGGGTGAGGGTTCTCCTTGTTGCAATAAGCAACAAACCCAAACTGTTTGATTGCAGGTATGATCACTGTGGTCTCTGGGTAGAAACCATTGACACCTCCAGCTGGAAGAACAGAAGAATAAATGGAAAGATTTGCAAGTGCAGGTGGCAGGAGAATGTGGGCTCCTTTACAAGAACCTCCTCCCTCTCCCCTTCTTCTCCTTCTCCTCCTCTTTTCTTTTCTCTCTCTCTCTCCTTCTCTCTTTTTGTCTCCCTCTCAGGCCCCAAAACACATAGACACACAAAATATAGGAAGAGGAAAAAGGTTTATCTCTGCTCCTTGTATATAAAATCAGGGACCAGTCTTAAACTGCTACAGAAATATTGTGA